CACGTCTGGATTGGGTTGCAGGATTATACTATTGTCAACCCATCACTTCTGATTGCTCAGGAGCAAAGCTGTACAATAGATCGTCACAAAAGATTATGGTTCATGAAAATGTCTTAACAACAGTATTTCGCAATGCGTTTGTAATACAGAGGCCAAGTGGTTCTCGGTAATCTTTAGAAATCATGAAGTTTTATTGCTAAAAAAAATCTTGAATATAATATTAAAATATTATCTTCCCACTTTGGGTAAAGCAGGATGAACTTGCCAGAGATTGTCAAGCGTATGATTTGCTTCCACAATTTTTCCATGCTGTGAGTTGTAGATCTCAGCCAAATCAACTCCTGTGGTAGGAAGCAATGAGCTACTCTTTTCTTTATCCTTGCCTTCCTTCCAATGGAAGTTAAAGAAGAATTTTGACTTGGCTGCATCTCCTGGCAAGATGGCTAAAAGCTTGACGCTACACTGGGGGAATGGTTTTGAGAGGGATTTTGCATTTTACAAACACATAATGGACGTCTTACTTTGATTCGTCAAAATGAGCCCTTTTGTTGTGTTCAAGCTGCACATTTCCAGCATATAACAAGTAATTTGGTTCAAGTTAGTTCTGAGAAAGCCACATCCTGTATATGTCCCTGAGTTTTTAACCACATCCCCAGTTTGACTAATTTGTTTTCTTGTCACAACTGTTCTTCAATTTCAGTGAGAAGCTTTTAATGTACAGCTGTACTCTGAAATCATCATATGATACAAGAGAGATTCCGAGTTTAATTCCCCTGCCAGCTATTTGCTAGGATTCCTCTTTTTTAATAAAAAGGAATAGAGATGCACAGTAATGTCTAAGCAACCAGCTATTATTAAAATGAAATACTTTATTTCAAGTAATTGAAATTGCATAACCATAAATCCTAGATTACAAGATCTTTGCAATGATGCAGGGTTGTATCTTTTGGCATTCTGCGAACCAGCCAGGTTAGAAAGCTTGCAAGAAAAGACATTCTGATGACCAAACCTACTTGGGATATTTTCTTTCTCTGGATTTATGCTTGAGCAGTGAGGCAGCAAAGTAGGTACAGTACATTGATCATTAATTCTGGATTTTCAGAGGACAGAATTAGAAAACTGGCGCAGTAAATTGTTTTCTATTGAAATAGCTTCTGGAATTTTTCATGTGTGGATTTTTAAATGGACGAGAAGAGCAGAGGGACCTTGGTGTTTAGCTACACAGGTTATTAAATGTGGCAGCAAAGATAGATAAGGTAAATTGAATCCTTGGTTTTGATCTAAAGGCATGAAATACAAAACCAAAGAAGTATTGGTGAACTTGTCGAAGATGAGTTAAGTCAGAGCATTGTATGCAGTCTTGGGTACCCCATTATAAGAAGGATTTGGGAGCAATGGAAAAGATGCAACATGGATTCTGCAGTGTTATCAGGAATTAAGGGTTTCAGTTAGGAAGGGAGATTTCAGAAGATGTGTTTTATGTTCGAGCTGAGAATGGTTTAAGTAGGGTTATGAAAGTGAAAAAGGAAGCAACCCAATGGCTCAGAAGTCAACTATTTTGGCTTCCACTTTCCAGCAGCCCTTTTGAAGTGTCAATGACAGGCACTTTTTGGATAATTGAACATTGGGAGTCTACACTCCCAACTGTGCTATAAGCGAACTACAATAAGTTATAACGAAAGCTTTATAACCAGGTTAAAATGTATTTTGAGAACAATTCTTTGTTTCAGATTACAGTAAAATTGTTTAATCAAAACACATAACGTTGTTCACAATATTTTAATTATGATCCTTCATTATTTTAAACAGTCAGTTGTAACACATGGTAGATATTTTTCTTAAAACCTGGTTTTGAAAGTCATGAATTCTCACTATATTGACAACATTTTGTGACTTACCTCTTCTCATGGATGCTTGTCGAAAGATATTTTAGGAAGTTTTTATAATCTTATGCCAAAAGGATTTAAATGAAAATTGGCAAGCCAGAACACAGATGTATACAATAAAGTCATTAACATTATTGACCTGATGTTATAAACATGACAAGACCACCTTCACATTTTGGCACTTGTGTTGAGAAGAGGGAAAGTAGAGGTTATTATGAAGAAATCCTATTTACTAAAAACCTGGTTTTGAAAGTTTACAGATGACCTGGTAACAGATGAGCAACAAATGAAAAATGTAAATTATAATAGAAGGCATGGATTTTGTCTTTTGTGAAGCTGGTTGTACCTATGCCATTGAGTGGTTCTATCTTCCCTGGGGCCTGACCTTATTTTTCCAGTAACCTGTGGCTATTGTAGCTGTCGCAGAGCATTGCCCTTGTCACTGCATCTGTCTCTGGCCCTAGATGAGATGAGTGGGTTATCTTTATAACTTTTCAAATGAAATTTACGAGATCCTCAAGAGGATAATCCAAATAAGAGTTTTCAGGAAGATCGAAGGAGCTTTATTTAAGAAATGGACGTTTTGTCTTTCGAATTTGACCTGCAAAGTTGTTGTCGAGTATGATTTTTCAGAATGTATGCTCTTAAAGCCTGTTATTTTTTTCAAAGACCACTTGACTTCAGAGATTGAGTTACCACAAACAACTGTGGTGTTAACTAATATGAATGTGGAATTCCTTTTCAAAATGCCAATTTAGCACCTCAAAACAAACTTCAAAGCAGTGAATGATATTTGAGCAAATAAAAGCTTGCTTTAATGTGCAGAAAAAATAGTGATTGGTTGTTGGACGATGAATTTCAGTAATCCTCACGATTTCTCAATTTGTACAATTAATTGCCGCAACCAGAAAAATCCCTAAGGAGGAAAGTACTAGAGGAAAATAATCTTTCAAATGCTTTTAGAGTATCCTCCAATGTGGTTGCTTGTCAGTTCTTTTAAAGATCCCAAACTATTTTCCCACAAGCTTCAAATACCATTCAGGATAATTAAAATTGTGCGTAATGCAATAGTAAGACTCTTGAAAAAGTATGTCAAATGTCCCTTCACAGTAGTTCATTCAAAAAATGTATACAGTATATTCAAACTGAGCTGATCACAAAACTAGCCACCCGAAATCATGTGGAACATTTCTGTGAAATCTTAGTTGCAAATGTTCTAATATAAAATATCTTTCTGAAATGTATAGTTGTTCGTATAGGTCTTTGTAAAACTATGCCCACAAATAGATTTGATTGGATAAAATGGCAGAAGAATGTTCTGCATTTTCCTACAACATTTTGACTAGCCCTTTACAACACTTAATCCACTCACCATTAATCTTGTTTTTTTATATAGTCTGTTGTTGTACTTTATCAAAGGTCTTTTGGAATTATAGATCCACTATTATACTATACTATTATAGTATAGCTTCATGATGGAAACTAAGAATCAAGAGTGGCTAATACTCCAACTCCTCTCATTCTTTCCAAAATGTATTGCCTCTTCTGCATTAAATTTCATCTGTTGTCTGTCTGCCCGATCCATCTGCCTCTCTGTTTATCCTTCTGAAGTTGCCAGCAGTCCGCTTCCCAGTTAGGCAAACTCCTTACTTTTGGGTCACCTGTAAATTTTGATATTCTGCCTCCTATACCTGAAGTGAATTATCTAAATGAGTTAAAGGAAACTAGATGTTTCTGGAGAGCAAAGGGATTGAGGAATATGGTCAAAAGGCGAGTTTGATGTCAATCAAGAAGCAACCTTGGGCCTAATCCCCTTTAGTTATTAAAATATTTTGTTTCTTATAATTGCACTCTGCTTTCTTTTTTTCGTTGCCCTCCATTTATATGTGTGTTCAATAGAAATAGTCAATTAATTATTAAAATTCACTGTTCAAAAAAACCCGTGCATCAACTAGAAGTGTCAGAACGCAGCCTTCCAAGAAAGTCAATCCAGATATCTCTGAAGCTGAGGTTTCTTGGTAACAAGTGCATTTAATAGACTTTCAGTTTCTTTGTGATTGAGAGGACTCTGCTGTGACCAGGTTCTTCATGCACAGATAGTTGTACCTATTTTCCAGTTATTTTGAGGAAAAGATGGGGGATCAGTGTAGGTTATTAGTAAAATAATACATCTTGTCAGCTCTACTGCTTTCACTGTCTGGAAAAAATATACAGTACTAATGTGTACCTTTTGTGACTTACTATAATGTCTGTTTCTGTTTGGAGCGATCGTTTAACAATAGTCACTGAATGATTCGATATTTCTGGGTTCATTTGTGCTGCTCTTCTGCATTTGTTGGAGGGGAAATAAGGGATTTAACGAAGATGCTATAGAAATGTTTACCTTTCGAATCTCAGGGAAAATTTGGTTTGCCCAAAATGGTGGTTCAAATGGAATTCTTGTAAATATTTATAAGCATGGGTTTACTGTGGACTTGCACAAATCCAGCTTCTGGGGCAGGTAAACTAGTGTAGAAAAATTGCTGACTGGTTTCTGCTATCATCACTTCCTTAGAGTTACGCAAGACGCACCTCTGACGTCACTTCTTAAAGAAAAATATGTCCGTGATTTCCTGTGAATGTCTGCAACACTCAGTAAGCGATGTCAATGTCGACCTGCCAACAGAAAAGTTTGCTTTTTTGTTAAGCGCTTTTCTTAGAATGGGCGGTGAGCTATTGGACGCTAACCGCATTATAATGAAATTCCCCCATACTCTTGCATCACAAAAATACATGAAATTGTGCAACAATTAAATGGAGATAACCTTTTTGTCCAGGTCCAACCAATTTGCTAAGATTTATGTAACATTGAGCAGTGCGGGTACACTATTTATTCTAAAGTGACTTGTAACAGCGATGCGACAAGCACTTGGATACGATTTACAGTACAGAACAAACACTTAAGAATCCAAGCATAAATCTTTGAGCAAAGTGATGTTATACCATGTGGTCTAGATAATCTAGTATATTCACTTTATTTTATTGTAATCCTTTTCAAATGAAAAATTTTGCCATGTATGTTTTCTTTTTTTTATAAAAAAGTAAACTTAATTTGAATTTTTTTTTAAATCGTAGTGAGAAAGAACCAGAAACTAAAGAAGAGGACCATTTGATGGAAGAAAAGAAAAAGAAAAAGCAAGAAGACAAGAAAAAGAAGGAAGCTGCTCAGAAAAAGGTTAGCACTTGACATTGATTATCTTTGTGCCACACACCATAATTCTATAAATAGTTCATGTAGAAAATGGCTTTCTGTTGGATTTGTGGCCCAGTATATAGCCAGGAGACTAAACGAACACTTGACATAATTTTTACTTCATCTATTTTTTCTTTCTTTCAGGTTGCTGAACAGAAAACCAAAGGTTTGTCATTATTTTCTCCTATTTCTCATCCTGTTTGTGTAACAGCTGCATTTTTATGTTTTTTTTAAGATGTAATCAATGGATTTGTGTGTTAAAAAGAAAGGTGTAGTGAACAGTAAATTTTAATTTGTGCTTTTCTGATGCAGTATGTGCAGTTCTTGGTTCACTTAGTTTGTGAATGCAAACTTGGAATGTTAGTTCCTCAGATGCAATACCTGTTGTTGTTTCTATGGCAAAACTCAGGATAAGGGAGAGGCACTCAGATTAACTTCACTATCGACAAACCACCTTTGTTCCTATATTTATATTGTTTTTTTAAATATTCATTGCTCTTGAATTGAAAGTGTGCAGAAATGGTCAGAAACTAGACCGGTGTTACTGTAGACCAGACAGAATTCTAAAGATTAGAATTTATTTGTATAGTTTTTCAAAACTCCTATGTAATAACTCAAATTTATACATCTCTACACTTTGTAATCACTGTAGGTCTTTTTCAGGAAAATTTAATTCAAATTGAAAAATTATCTCAGATGCTAGTTGGCTTTCTCCATCTGCAAATGTTTTGCAAGTGCTGAGATTTATTTTTTTGGAACCACTTGGGCCAGCAGTGTTAATCTCAGCCTACAGAAACATTACATCCATCTTGTTTTGAAGGGCACAATAAGTAAATAATTTGTATATTTATTGAAATATATGACTAGCTTGTAAAGAATAAATCAGCAAATTATTATTATAATGCATGTCTTTACTCCATGGCTATTTAATACTCCTTGCATTTGATATAGCACTTTATCACATTGAGACATCTCAAAGCACTTCACAGAATATATTGTAAAGTCGATTGACTGTGTATTTTGTGGGCAAAACTTTGTAGCAATGTGCTATTTTCACAAAATTGTAACTTGCCATATTTCTGAGTAATCAATGTGAGCCTTATATAGTTGTCTTCTGTCCTTCTGCCTTCTATTTGACATTTTTGGGTTTTAAATTTGTAACAGTTTTAAATTTAGTATTTGGTCATCGTTTTGGCCACATTGCCTTTATTACCAGTTCTAATCTTGCATCTTGAATCAATGATTAGTAGATCTAGTTTTGTTTTACTTCTAGCCCAACATTTACTTTTCGTCTGTTCACTGAAAGATGTGGCTAACATGTTGACTGAATAACAGGGCGGGTTTGATTCGTTTAAATAATGAAGTGACTATTGAAGTAAAAGTATTCCACTTACAACCTACAAACAGTAGATTGTTGAAGAGTCTGTTGGTAATACTTATTAGCTTATAAGTTGCTCTTGAGAGAGATGGAGGGAAATGGCGAGAGATATTTAATTAGTTGGGCATGAAGAGCCTGAGAGGTGACATTAATTGATGATGTCCAGAGGTTCTAAACAAAACAGTCATTAATCTTCTCAAAGATTAAGAAAGAAATAGTCACTAGAGGTATTGGATAGATTCAGCTTTAGGTAGCAAACTAAATTTCAAGGAAAGAAAATCGCTTCTAAATAATGTTATCTGACAACCCCAGCGTTATAGATTGAAGAGACCAGGACTAAGAAAGGTGAGTTTACTGATTTGGAGGAACATGGAATCCATTTATCTGCTCGGAGGCAACCACAGAATGCATTTTGCACAGATAATGCTGTTGTCCTTTCAAGTGGAACAGGCCGTCTTATTTGATTTGTGTTGAACACAAAACTAGTGTAAGATCATGTTCGTTGCCAAATTTATCTTAACTCGAGTTGCTGTCATTCGTGTCCCAAGAAAGTCATTCATTTTATAATTGTCAAAGAATTCATGATGATCTGCCAGGGATTGTTTTCAAAGAATAGGCTATGGATTATAGATTAAAGAAACGTAACCTAGCTCTTGCTGCCAGATCTACAGACGACTGTGCCAAATATCTGACAAATTGCTGTAGAAAAGATAAATGACCTTGCTGCTCTCCTGACTTAAATCCAAGGGAAAATAAGTGTTGTACTAAAGACAGGAAACACACTATTTTAATAGTGTTCTTTCACTGTGGCTTGGTGTTTCACGTCGAAAGCTGGTTGTAGCAGAACAAATAAAAGAATGGTGAATAATGAAAGTAGACATAATTCAAATAATGCTGACTTGTAACCATTTTTGGAAAGATTTATTGTTAATTCATGATTGGACCATCAGCCAAAATTGCATTTTTACTCTATTCTGCATCTATACTCTGGATCTGTGAATACTTTAAGACTTAAAATTTGGGTGCAGAAATTGTATGAAAGCATAGGATTGATTACCCCAATTCTTAAATGAAATCTGATGTAGAGAAGCATCATGATAGGAATATCTAGTCTAAACTTATTCATCATGTTCTGAACAAATGCAGTTATAATGACTAATTTGTGGGTACCAGAAAGCACCCAAGAGAGATAAACCGAAGACTGATTCGCAGAATCCCCTACGTTCCCTTTATGAATATTGTCCCAAACTACATTAGGCAGCTTTAGAAGAACGCTTTACAAAAGATACAAAACCTGAGGAAATACAATTTACATTTATATTGCACGTCGGGGGGGGGGGGGGGGGGGGGCACTTCTCAATGTGCTCTGTACTGTTGGCTAGGCACCTGAGTGTGTGGGGGGGTGGGGAAGAAAGAGGACATGGTGAAAGAGGTGCGTCTTGGTGTGGCCTTTGAAAGTGGGGAGCGAGCGGGTGGAGAATGTGAAATAGCAAAGTGTGTATTCTCTCCCTGAGCCTTCTAATTTAGTAAATCAATCTGTTGCTGTTTGAAAAGAACACGATGTATAACCTCTATCCCATTTATCCCTTCTGGAATTATGTGTACCGAGAGCCAGGTATTGACTAGTCCCCTCACAGCCTGTACTTCTATAGCAGTCTTTCTACCCTGAGAATCTTTTCACCCCATCAAAACCACTTAATTGAAATTCTGATCTCATTTACTGCATTTATTTTACATATTTCATTGTCTCCATACGTGCCCCTGCCCCCCACACTTGTACAAATTAAACTTGTTTCATGGATGAAGCATTTTAGAGAGAGATTTAAGTTGAATAATAAAGCAGGAAGGGGGCGGGCTGTTTTGCTGGAAAAGATGAAGGCGTGCGAGAAGGGCCTGAGGTGAGCAGTTCCTGATATTTCCCATTTGTTTCCTAAGAGTTTTCAGAAGCTCAGTGCACTTGTGTGAGGTCTCTATAAAACCAATATATGCCCAAAGAGCAAGAGGACTGTGGCACCTTACAATAATAAGTGAATGTGAATCATTTACAAGAACAGATGGCATAATTGTTTTGCAACAAAGTATTGCTTGGATTGAGGAAAGATTCACGTGACTCCTTAATTGCAGAGGTCGGTTTTGGTAGAATAATTGTGCCAAAACATTCACAATCTTGTAATTAGAAGTTTGCATAACAATCTGCTGCCAACACTGGCTAGAAGTGTTCCAGACTTGCTGGAATTTGTACTTTTACAGCCCAGCATCTTTGTAATTTTGCAGTACAGTTCTGATGTAATTTTGGATATGGCAAAGCACCAGGTCTGTCATTTCCATCTGCCTCTTTATTCACAGTAAAAGCAACAAAACAGCTGTTTTGTTTCCCCTCCCCTTGAATAGCAGTCAGCTTTCCTGGATTCAGTTTGCTTGAAGGCAGACTGTAAAATGACACCAGTCTCCACGTACCTATCCTCCATTTTCTAGTGAGGCCTTCAGAAGGAGAGCAGCAGAATTAGGTTTCCTGTGTGAATGCTGTTTACTGCATTTCAAATTTGCACTTGGTCTTTTGCTCTAACTGAACTGTCATTCTCCAGCCAGGTACGAGAATCGCAAGAAAAATACCAGAGAGACCATTGCACTTGTTTCATAAATTACAGAAACTAAAATGAGTAGTTTGCTGAGGTTAATGTGAATGGAAGTGAAATTATCGGGTAAGCTGTTTTGAAACAAGCCCAGTCTGTTGTTAAATGTTTATTGGGAGGGAAAGAGCAAGCATTACTGCACAATTGCTTGAACATCCTGGGCATTTTCAGGGGAAAAAGACCTTTAACAGTGTCATTTTCATAGTAAGCAGCAACATTGTTTGTACCAGCTCACGTTGCAGGATTTAAATTAAAAACAATGCTTGGTGTGGGGAGGCACAGTCTGAACCTGCCACAAGAATGAACCTGTACTTCCTTCACTTCTGTTTACAGCAGCAGTGTGTGTTAATTGCCTGAATTAAACAGGCTGCATATCCTGTATAGGACTCTTCTGCTTTTTCTCTTCTTCCCCCATTCCACAGCTTGAGAAACTGATAAGACTGCTTAACCGCAATAGTAACTTTGCTTGGAGCACTGTTACAAGAACGATATGTTAGCTTTTAAGAAGGAACTGGATAGATATCTAAAAAGGATGAATTTGCAGGAGTATAAGGAAAAGGCAAGTAAATGGGACTGAATGACGTTCAAAAGAGCCCGCACAGCTACAATAGGCTGAGTGCTCGTCTTCTGTGTAGTAATTTTCTGTGGTTCTAAACCTATGGATCTAAGACTAATTGTTTGCCAATGAGTAAACAACTGTTGTGTTATGTTAAACTGGATTTTCTTCTGGAGGGTGACCCCATTTCCTGGCTGATTAATGCAAAGTAACTCACTTGGCTTTAGTTTGCAAAATAGCAGGTGTGACAACTTTTAGTACAGCTTTGCAGTTGTCTAATTTTCCTTCAAATTGCATCATAGTTTAAATACTTTCAACGGGGCAGTTGTAAATAGGAATTCACAGTTAATTCATTTAAACTAATGTATGGAAAACGCAAGGCACAAATTATTCAGTGTAGTGGCTTCTGAAGTTTTTCTTATACAATCGTAATTTACAATTCCATTATTTTCCATTCTGCAAGTCCTCTCTCCTGCATTTTGATTTTTCTTGAAACTAGAACAAACTATTACAAATGAACAACTCACTGGCCATTTATATCCAGGGCATAAGTAATTTGTTCTCTTGGGTCAATTATAAAATGTTGGGGATTTTCCTTT